GCGTTGGAGGCGAGATGCTTTGATGAGGTGAAGGGCATCTGAGGGAACTCACGTTAAGCTGCAGCCGAACCAGACAGGTGCTGAAAAACCAGGAACCTCTAAACCCGAAAGACCAGGAACCTCAGATCTTGTGAGGCACCTGCTTTTGGGTGTTTTTTGGTTGCCACGTATTTGCTTCAACTCTCCAGCCTCTCGTTTTTGCTGAGTCAACTCCCTGCAGCACCTGGGCAGACAATCGACTCTGCCCAAGGGGAATCACACGCTGATCCCTTTGCCTGCCAGACACACGCACACACACACACACACACATGCATACACACACACTAGAGTTGGATGTCTCGAGACCGGAGATTTGGAGCGAAAAGTATCCATGACACACAACGTAACGTTCGATAATGCAACATTATTATTATTATTTCGCCTTTGGCGCCCTTCAAATGCAACCAATCAATGACATGCATGCATTTTGTTGTGATTCAGACATTGACGCTCATCCAACCAAAATACGAATTATACGCGCAAAATAAGTGTAGCGCTATAATGTAGGGCTGCAAGATTTGGGGAAAATATTGAATCGCGATTTTTCTGACAGAAATTGCGATTACGATTTGATTTACGATTTAATTTTTTTTATGTCAAGCTTCAGTTCAATATTCATTTTAAAACATGACGCAGCATTAGATACTATCGATCAGTATTAACTGGTCTACGTTCTAATGTAAGGATGAGAATTTAAAGATGTGATGTGTCAAGTTAAATAAAGTACGAAATAATGAAAACTTGTAAATAGTCTGTAGGGTTTGCAAACTGCCGTAAAGTTTTTGATGCAGCTAATTTTAAGTTAAGAATGGAATATAGATTTGCCGTAAGATTTCTTGCGTGAGAGTCTGAAAGAGTTTGCAACCATGAACACGTACTTTTTTTGTTTCACCTGAATTGATATGTATAGAAAATACATCCCAGGGGCCTCATGTATAACGACGTGCGTAGAATTCACACTAAAACATGGCGTACGGACAAAACTAGGAATGTGCGTAAGCAAGAAAAAATCCAGATGCATAAAACTGTGCGTAAGCACAGATCTACGCACATTCCCTTTATAAATCCGAATGAGCGTGAAATTTTACGTACGTGAACGAGCCCACAGCCACCCCCCCCGACCCGCCCATAATTATGTATATTTGCATATGTAAATCTATATAAACGCCCGCTTTGTTCTATATATGTTGTTCTTAAACAACAATGGATAAACCACGAGGGAAAAAGAAGTATTTCAGTTAGTGCGAAGTGGAGGTCATGTTAACAGAAATCGAGAAAAGAAAAGTGATATTATTTGGTGGTATAAGTGGCATCAGCAATAAACGAAAGTTGACGGAGTGGCACAGTTAAAAGTGTTGGTTCCGAAATTCGCACGGTGGCCGAAATTAAAAAAGAGTGGTCGGACATTAAAATCGACGTGAAAAAACGAGCGGCCGCTCACCGTAAGAGTCTTAACAGCACAGGCGGAGGTAGCGGAATTCCCGGTCTCACACCCTTTGAGCAACTAATTGCTGCGATGATTGGGGACACACTTTTATCGGGTGAGGGGGACGCCGATGTCATCGCGGGTGAATTTTTCTCGTACCATACTTGTTTTAATTACTTGCATGTTTATGAATAACGCGCAGGGCGCAGATGCGGTGTTACTTTCGTTTATTCTGTTTGTTTATTCTTACAGACAACAGTACAAGAAGTGCCCCCAATGCATTGAGTACATTAATAGAGTGAAAGTGCTTTCTATTTACATAAGCAAATTCGTTCTCTGAAGGTGACTTTATAGCAATGTGCGCGCAGTCGATAGCTTCGACTACGTTGGGAAAACCGGACATCGCTGCAAATTGCGCTTTAATATTTGCCTGTTCAACCACAGTGTAAGGAAATTTTATATAT